GGTTCTTTTTCTATTGCATTTTACTTAGTTATAATGTATATGATTTGTTGATTGTGTTTTGTAAGATATTTTAACATATTTAGACTGTCTATTAAAACCTGCAACACCAACAATGCTAGCTGAAAAATCAAAGTAAAATTGTTCATTTAAAATACAATAATCATATAAGTTCACTTCGAACAATTCAAAGATTTAAAAGTTTTACTGATGCACTGTTAATTTTACTACAGTTAAGAACCCGTACAAAATTTAAAACTATTCCCCCATAGGCCTATATTACTACTAGTTTAACACCAGCGTTAATATAGCAAATGCCGTTTGTGCGAACACTGAAATTTTAATCCGTGAATTAGCTTACGCCTGACGTAAGCTACGTCAGTCTTACGCTGTGTGTGTGTGAACATAGCCTTATAAATATGGTACAAGCTGAAGCTGCCTTGACAAACTTGTATGTCAACAACAAGGTCATATATCAATGGAACATACTGTAATTAATTATAGATGATATCTACCAAGCCCAGGTAAGTCCAAGCATTTTATTGAATGTGTTGAATAGGCCGAGATGCATATGCGATAAATCTATCTCTCTGCTATGTAATCTTATTTATTTAAATCGCTGACAATATTGTTTTATTTAAAGTGAGTGGCGGCGCAGGTGACAACTTACCGAATGCCATGATGCCAATGGATTCTGGGAATGTAATTTTAGCAAATACCCATGGATCAGGTGTCGATGGTCTGTTTGAGAGAAACAAAAATACGTATAATTTAATTCCTGTTAAGGACTAATGTAATGTACTGTAATGTATATAAATTTGCTACAGCGCATAAACAAGGTCTCAATGCACTGTGAGTAAAAAAGAATTAAAAAGTTGAAAAAAGATGTGTTTTAAGACGGTTCTTGAAAATGATTAAAGAAAGAGAATCGCGAACTTCAAGGCAGGGAATTCCATAGTAATGTCGCAGAACAGAAAATACCATAAGATTTTAATCTACTAGATGGAGTGACTATTATGGTTTAACTACTTAAATATATAACATTATTAATTATAATTAAGTCTGGTTTCCTTAAAATCACCACACTCTCACTAGTGAGTGCAATTGTTGTACTGTATAGTAGTCCCCACGCAATCGGAAAGGCTCCCCGAATCGACCGACCAATCAGAATCACCAAAAGTTGTTGGTGAGCGTGTAACACTTGTATGGAAACCAAGCTTAAACCAGATACATAGATTAATAGGAAAAATGCCCAAAGGGGCATCCTCAAATAACACTCAATTGGAGAATGACCCAAGAGGAAGGTCCCTCAAAAGAAAAAAGTCCAAAGGAAAAAAGCCATCAATGGCTTAACAGGGAAAAGACCCTGGCATTGTAAGGGAAGGTGTGATAAAGTAGTTTTAGACAATTAAATTGTCAGAGAAAAGTGAGGCAAACTGCAGAGGAAAGATGAACAACCAACATTGGGAAGGATACTAGAGAGTGGGGGATGATTGAGATAATACATGATCTTAAAAAGGTACTGAATGTTTCGGAATTATATTACAGTACTGATAAATTAAGATGACTTACAAATCTAAAGATGTGTATCGAATTATCACAACAACCATGATAAAGAAAACTAGAACCAGTGACGCTATCGATATCTGAAGATACAAAATGCAAAAATCAATTATTGTACAATGCACAGTAATATTGATTTGGTTTAAAGAATGTACATTACAAATAAAAAATATGCAAATGTCTCTCTTTATAGTGTTTCCTCCCACCATAACAACAATAAAAATATCATGATTGTATTTTTGACTAAAGTACTTTTATTGAAAAATTCTTTGTGAATTGATACAGTATTTGAACAAATGACAGCAAAATCATATAAATCAGTCGTGTATTGTACTATCATACTGGTACTATAATAATAATAATAATAATAATAATAACTTCATTTAATAAAGCGCAAAACAATATCCATTAAAAATGTTCATCGGCGCTGTACAGCATTTCTGCATTCAAATTCTGTAATAACGCCCTCTTGCAATTACAATTACTTTCCAACTTTGACATCTATGATCTTTTATGCAAATTCTGGAACAACCACCATGATAAGAACTAGAATGGCCTCTCTCAATTAAAATTACTTTCTAATGCTTTCTGTAAATGAATCGACGCTTCTATTTTGTTACATATAAATTGCAGAGAGCTCTATCATGTTATTATAACATCTTTGACTTACATCCACTGCCTCTTCACCTATATAT